TATAAATAATAGTAGTAGTAGTGTCAATGTTATTTCCAATGCTCCTCCTATTTCGCTCTTTCTTTCTCCTCCTCCTCCTCCCTCCTCCTTCTCTCCTCCTCCTTCTCTCTCCTCCTCCTCCCTTCCATCTTCCTCCTCCTCCTCCTCCTCCTCCTCCTCCTCCGCCTCCTCCTCCTCCTCCTCCTCCTCCTCCTCCTCCTCCTCCTCCTCCTCCTCCTCCTCCTCCTCCCTCCTCCCTCCTCCTCCTCCTCCTTCATATTCATCCTCCCTCCTCCTCCTTCCTCCTCTTTCACTCACATCCTCCTCCTCCTCCTCCTCCTCCTCCCTCCTCCTCCTCCCTCCCTTCTTCATTCTCCTCCTCCTCCTCCTCCTCCTCCGCCTCCTCCTCTCCATCTTCCCTCCTCCTCCTCCTCCTCCTCCTCCTCCTCCTCCTCCTCCTCCTCTCCCCTCTTTTTTTTAGCTTAGTTTAACATCTTACTGACAAGACTGGAGTACAATTTGCCTATTCCAAGTCAAGTCTTTTTCCTCCCTCCACCATATCTCCCTCCTCCTAATCCCCAATTCTTAGGATCACCAACCACAAAACAACCCCTCTCAACCCCCCCACCCTCCTCCGACCACTTCCTTACCTCCCAATTTCCACACACAATCTATTATCCATTTCATTCTCATCTTGTCAGTTCTTCATAGTTTACCTCCCTTTCACTCCACCTCAATTATATCAACACCCCCCCATCACTTCACCCCCTCCCTCCCTCACATCATCCTCTTCACCCCCTCCCTCCCTCACATCATCCACTGTTCCTATTCACAATGATTCCTATTTAGTTAAGATTAAAGTCTCTCTGTAACTCTTAGACTATTAATCGATTTTTTTTGGGTGTTTTTAAGTTAAGTCGACGGATTAGTTAAGGTTTGTAGGTCTTAACTTACGACAAAAAAATTCATCTTATGATTTTTTTTTTTTAATATCCTGGTCTTGTTTTGGATAAGTGAATGTTATAGTGAAGGTTGAGTCTCAGTGTAAGTTCTACGCCATATTGAATGTCATCTCTGTGTTGTAGTTTACGTCGTGCATTTAGTAACGTTCTTGTTAAGGTTAAATTAATCTTACGTAACTCTATGAATCCGGGTACAAGATCTATAGATAAACCACGAGACGTGACTCAAGAAGCCGAGGAAGAGAAAGAAAGACAGACAGACACCCCCAAAAAAATGGTTCACTTGTACACTAATCCTTAATAATTGACTAATGACACTTCAATAAGAGACCGTCAGACAGATAGAGTTACTGGCCCGAGGTTCACGATGGATCATAGAGGTCACGATGCCATAGAGAGAGTGAGGGTATTGGGCCTTATTGTATGGACGGGATACAGACATCACGGCATCAACACTCGGGTATGTTGTGGGTCCTTGGTGGGTCCTGGGTGGGTCATGAGTGGGTCCTGGGTGGGTCCTGGGTGGGTCCTGCTCTCTCGGATGTGGCGGTGGTCTACTGAGGAAGGATATAATTAAAGTGAGGCATGTGAGTCCTGCTGCCTCTACCTCCCTCATGAGTAGTCGTGTGATATGTACTCCAGGACGTGTCTTGAGTACGATATTGTAATCTAGACAGTGCAGATATACAATGTACAGTCCCCCTCCTCCCTTCACTACTGCGTTTACAGGGGCTCATTATATAAACATTCCACATTGAGATATTTGTTTTAATATTATTTCTAATTTGATTCCATAGTTTGTTTACTATTGTGAGTTTCCTTTTGTCGAATGTAAACAAACACAGAGAGCTGCCACACAACACAAAACCTGACGAGCTCCTGTAAACGCACTAGTGAAGGGGACTGTATCTAAACAAGGTAGGTATATAATGTACCTAGACAGTGCAGGTATAACTGTTTGTGAAGGGGTCAGGGTGGTTGGTTCATCTCACTGTAAAAATAAATTCCATATTTCATTTCATAATAATGAGGTTTAATGAAATAAATTATAATTTATTTGGTTGTGGCATAAAGACATTCATATTTTAGTGTTTAGATGATGGTTAGGTGAAGGTGTCAGTGTTAAGTCTGAGGGTTGGCCACCACAGCCCACCAAATTCTCTGATTTTGTATTTCTCAAGAGGACCTATTGCTACCCTAACCTAACCAAACCAAACCTAACTTAACCTAACCTAAATTAACCTAACTTAATATGACCTAACATTACAACCATACCTACTGTAATCCAGCATGACCTAACCTAACCCAACACACCCAGGTAGCGTGAGGTGCGGCGAATCATCAGGTCTTATTTATATTATGTTCATTGAGGTGTAACATAATTTAATTCATGCTTTTCTAAAATGTATATAATGTATATTTAATGTATATAATCTATAATAATTATACCACACTAATTATAGGGAAAATAATAACAATAATATAATTTCAAACCATATTTTATTTACACACAAAAAAATACATACAGCACACAATAGTTATTTACAAACATACATACGTACATACAACTCTTTGGCAAACTGAATTTGTATAATGTACAATTCCGGTCACAATTACCTGGACACTTGGCAAGTATCTGACATCAATATATACTTGTGGGTTTTATGTGACTCGTTTACAAATAGTGAATGTTTATTTTGCATTATTGTTTACGTCAGGGTCAAAATATAAACAAAAACACCACAACACAAGTAAAGCAATACTAAAATACGGGTTATAATAACACTCCCGCTTTACCTATGTGACCCTTAATTAGTTGACCCTAAATATTGACACAGGTGTTCGGGGGATTTTCTCCGTAACTTAACTCTCATCAACGTTAAACACTGACGATGGAGGAGAAAGGGAAAAAATGAGTGAAATGTAAGGGAAATGGGAAAAAAAGCAATGAAAACATGTACAGGGAAAATATTGATTCTTGTAAGGGAGAAACTGAATCGTATTAAGGAAAGAAGTGATCATTTGAGGAAAAAATAGAGTATGTGGGGAAAAACTAGGGAAACTGATCATATTAGGGAAAACTGATCATATTAGGGGAAACTGATCATATTAGGGAAAGAATATTATTTAAGGAAAAATCTGAATCATATAGGGAAAATCTGAATCGTATAGGGGAAAATATGAATTGCATAGGGGAAGATCTGAATCATATAGGGAAAAATATGAATCGTATAGGGAAAAATCTGAATTGCATAGGAGTAAAATCTGAAACAAAGAGGGAAAAATATAATTCTTATAGGGAAAATTTCCCCCAAAAGACGAAAACACGTACAAGAATAGAAATTGATAAAACAAGCCTTAGATAAACTTCAACTTAGGCCTAAACTACTTCAGCGATAAATCATTGAGAATAAAGAAGGCAATTATTTTATAGTAGTTCTTAAAGTTGTTTGAGTATAGCAATTAAGACTTATTAAACAGGTGGTTAAAGACCCTGGTAGTTGAAGCACTTATAACGAAGACTTATTAATTGGATGCTTCAATACCCTGGTAGTTGAAGCACCTAAAACTATCTTAAACAATAATAATAATAATTAATACTGCTTCATTTAACACACAGGTAATAATAATGACAATAAACACAATTTTTTTCCCTATCTATGCGAAGTAAAGGAAATTAATACAAGAATCGTTAAATTTCAGCGTAAATCGGAGCTTTTATCAAGACCAATAATTACTGAAGGTTACTTAAAATCCAATTAATCTGAATTTTTTTTTAAGAGGCAGATTATACAGGGTGATCGAAAAATAATACCCAGATTTTCCACATATAAACATTTAAAAAAATCTAGGTATTCATTTTTGGATCACTCTGTACATTGAACAAGAAATTATATCTATATTTACACAAAGTACATTTAGTACATTTACAGGGTGATTATATCTTTGTACTTAAGAGTTAATTATGTACATTTGTGACTTAGATTCTGACTAAAGTAACAAGAGTTTATTTATTATTAGATCTTGGGAGTGAGGTGAAGGATGGACATATAATTTCTTTGTAATTATAGATGAAACTTGTTTGTCTAGTGAAGTGATGATGACTTGGGGACAGGTGCTTCAAGACCTCGGCTACTGAAGCACCTGGTGGGTTTGGTATACGAGTGACAGGAGTAAATATGTTTCCCACTCTTCCATGTTTCCTAATCAACATGACTCCTTACCCTTGCACAGTATCAACATTGCAATACTTATCATAAGGTAAGATCATAAGGTGACCTGTTGTGATAATGTTGTGTTATGAGTTCTTCTTTAATAGATAATATTGAGGATACAATTTGTGGTACTAACGATGTGGTTTATTATTTTTATCTTGGGTAATTGTCGTTTTTCTTAGTCAAACGAGAATCTGTATCTTTTTTTATATGTCAAATCAGTCTCTAGAAAATTTTCCATCAATATCAAATGAGATTCTAGATTATTTTTGTTTTCAGTCATATGAGCGTCTAGATGTCAGCTAATAATCGTAAACACGGAAGCCACAACACCAAACAACAGCTGTAAACTCGTTAGCTGACATTGTTTACATCCTGACATAAGACGGGATGGTTAAATCTTGATGACATAATTACAGTTTTCCTTCACCTGCCATCTCATTAACCTGGTCATTTTGTTTCTTAATTAGCACCCAGGTAGAGATGTGTGTGTGTGTGTCAGTGCCACTTTAATGCCTGCCTGGGTGATGATGATGATTATGATGATGATGATGACTAATGCCATCTTACCCTTTCTTTCAACTTTCACTTTTCTGGGTTTTCTCCTTTACTATTTCCTTATTCCTTCTTTATTATCCTCCTCTATGTCTGTTTCTCTCCTATTTCACTCTTTTTTCCTCCTGATGGCCCTCATCTTGCGTAACTTTTTCTGAAGTGTGTCTTGGTGAAAAGAACCTGCAAATGATATTTGATAACTCGAGCGGAGCATTGTATATATCATATACGGATCTAAGCCCTATGATCCGACAGAACAATGATACAGTACTTAACTTGAAATATCTCTTATTTATCACTCCTCTAGTTGAAATGTTCTTGGGTGTATGAAGACTCACTAAGACCTCCCAATGACTCACCCTGACTCACCAATGACTCATAAAAGGTAAACAGGAATATGAAGATAATTAACACTGACTTAACGTAAACATGCCCTCAGGAAATATATCTCTATCTAATTATCATCAAAATAAACACTATATTTACAGAAAAAAATATAGCAGAACCAAAGTTATATATCATATCGGAATTTGGATGATGTTATACGGCCATAATTCATTCGTTAATTTACTTTCATATTAATAAAAAAACTGAATATTGACTTTCTGTCCGTCTGCTCAACACTCGTATACATAAGACGTGGTGATACATTCTTTTCACAGATATGATTTTTAGTAATTTTATTCACTATACAAGTATTTATTCAACTACACGTCAACACAACACAGGTGAAGTTTAGCTGAGACTAATCTTATTCACTGTAAAAGTAATTATTCACCTTCACGACACAGGTAAAGTGTGTTGTAATTTATTTCACTGTACATTTTTTTTTTCATCTTTATAATCACACGGCAATAATCAGTTTCAAAGGTGTATTACTGTAACCTTTGTAGACTACGGTGAATCCTTGTGTGGTGTTGCGTAGGTGAGGTATTACGCAGGTGAGGTGTGGTACAGGTGAGATGAGGTACTTGTTCTCTCTCTTTCACCACAGCTTTATTCTCATCATCCTCTTGCTTCCTCTCATCACATTCTCCTCTTCACCGGTCTGAGTGTATGTCGTAGATCTGAAGTAAATAAACAACAATTAAAAAAAACGTTTATATTAATCTTCAAGTCATTATTAACTCACTAACTCATTTCTTCAATAAAGATATTAATCCCCTCTCACGTGTATTTCTGTACTATATGGGTTGGGTTGATTTAGGTTAGGTTAGGTTAGGTTAGGTTAGGTTAGGTTAGACCAACACCTGAAAAATAAATCTACAATCAGTGCTCACCTGTACATGAAGCACTACAGGTGAGAGTCCAGCTTCATTAAGGACCTCAGATATAAAAGTAACTATCGTAATTTGGGCAACGGATCGTGAGAGTCCTTAGGGATTCCAGCGCCTCCGTCAGTTCCTTGATGCTGGCGGAGGTCGAGGAGGTCATCGTGCTGGAGGTAACTACTGAAGGCCCATTGGTAGGGATGGTGATGATGGTGCGTTGGAGTGGTGAGGTAGGAGAGGTGGAGCAGGGAGAAGGATGGTGAGATCTGATGGGAGTGGGAGGAGGTGTAGAAGGAGTGGATTGTGAGTTAGGATGGAAGATTCTGGGAGGGGAAGGAGGTGTGGATGGGGTGGATACTGGAAAAGGATGGAAGGATCTAGAGGGGGAAGGAGGGGATGATGGAGAGGAACAGGTAGTAAATAAGAAGGAATCAGAGAAGATGGAGGATAAGTCAGTCAAGGTGGATGATGATGGAGAAGGAGACGTGACGATGATGGACGATGGTGGGGATGGGAGCGACGATGGTGGGGATGGGAGGGACGATGGTGACGTGGACTCTTGGGAAGACGATGAAGTGGAAGAAGTGGAGGAGGTCGTGACGACGGTGGTAGATGCTGACGAAGCTGAGGTAGAGGAGGTCACAGGGGAGGTTGAGGTCACAAGAGAGGTTGAGGTTACAGGAGAGGTTGAGGTCACAGGAGAGGTTGAGGTCACAGGGGAAGTTGAGGTCGCTGGTTTGGAGGTTTTGAAGTCTATTGTTATGGTGGAGGTAGCCTCAGCTGTCACCTGTCCTGGCGTAAACACAACAGTGGGAGGCACAGGTGAGGGTGGACTACGAGAGACAGTCTGTGACCTCCCCGTGGTTGTGGCCTGACTGGTGCCTTTGGGAGCGAATTTCACCTCTGAGTCTAATGAAAACGATATGTAGGTAGATGAAGAATCAGAAGAGGAAGCAGATGGAGAAGGCGATGAAGGCGGGGAGGGAGAAATTGAGGAAACATTAGATGAACGTGATGAAGAGGATGACGAAGAGAAGCCTGAATCATAAGATACTCTGGCTGGGGAGAAGGAAGAGGAGGAGGAGGGGGGGAAAGAAGAGGTGGTGGCGGTAACTGAGGTGGAGAAGGTGAAGGACTCCGACAAGTTGGTACTGAAGATACTGTCACTGGAGGAAGCTCGTGTGACGGGTACTGAGACGGGGGCGACAGTGTGATCTTCGTGCTCAGAGTCGGTGTCTGTGCTCGACTGGTCCAAACTGTGTCGCCAGGATATCTGAAGTGGAAGATCCGTCATTAGAGACCACGAAGGTAAAGTGTTCGGTGACTGAGAGACCTGTGTAACATCTAGGAAGTGTTTCTGTTAAAGATTCTTCACAAACTGTAGTTAATTAATGAGACTAGCTGGAAGGAATCACCGTAAATGTCTTATTCTGAAAGATTCTAGCTGATATTTTGTAAGACTTCAGTAAAATGGTTATGTTGGGTTGTAGTCACTTACTCTGGACTTGAGACTGAGGGCGTAGGAGACGTTACGGCGGAGGACGAGGGCCAGGTTGGCTCTGGCAGCTCTCGGCCACTCGCTCTTCACTAACAGCGGACACTCGTCTGGCCGCAGTGGACGGTCACTGTACGGGCTCTTGTTCACCTCATGTACCGTGTAGTGTTTGGGGTTCTCCTTGTTGCTGTAACAGTTGAGCAGCAGCTGTACCAGTTCCTCAGCCGTCGTGCGGTACGACACCAGCAGCGACTTGTACTGCGACTGTGAGGGAGAGAAACTTTGTTAGCCAACAGGTGTAAATATTTGTGTCCTTAACAACCAATTAACAGCCGCTGTGTTGTGTTACAGACTAAAGGTAATATTAACAGCCGCTGTGTTGTGTTAGAGACTAAAGCTAATATTAACACCAAGTATTAATATAACACTGAGTCACTCACCCCGGGCATGAGGATGGAGTCGTACACACGCAGCAGACCACCACGACGCACGCCCACACTGAAGCGCGCCTCCCCTCGTGGGCGGCACTGCTGTAGCTCGGCAGGACGGGCGTGATCCTCCAGCACCAGCAGGCGACGGGTAGGGGCGCCTCCACCTGGCCCCCTCACCACCACCTCCATCCTGACGAAGAACAGGTTGGGGTCACGGTGTCGGAGGCGGAACTTGGCCAAGAGCATCAACACCAGCTCCCGGCAGGTGGTGGCTGACGACAGGTTGATGGTCTTGTACTCGATGTCTGGCCTCATGAACCTCAGGTACACCTTCACTGGGGTCTGGGGGGACGAGGACGACAACATGAGTAAAAACGACGTAAATTAAAGCTCAAATAACTCATAGGGACGACATATTACACACACACACACACACACACATACACTCACACACACACACATACACACACACACAGGTCAGGCATTAGTGTAGGTCGACAGAGATTTCGCCGCTCCTTTACATCAGCTAGAGTCAGTTCATGGGAAGTAAGAACCAGTGGTGGAGAGGTCTGTGTGTGTGCGTGTCTTCATCATGTGTGCCCTTGATGTCACGTGTGTGTGTGTGTATTGTATTGTGTGTGTGTGTGTGTATCCACTGGTGTCACCCATCCTTTAACATCAACATGAAATTAATTCTCTGGATCCTTAGATTATATTGTGAGAACATACAAGATCACTGAACCGTAATTAAGAATACAAACTTCCTCACTCAGGTGTAATTAAAATCATACGTGTAATTAAGAACCGAAACAGGTAACCCAGAACACTGTTTAAGATTTACCTGTGTCACTTATCTTCGCTTTTACCCCCTTCCTTTCACACTTCTTTTATTTAACCATCTCTAACCATCTGTTCTTTGACCCTTCCCCTCCCTTCTCCCCCTCCCCTCCCTTCCCCTCCTCCATAACTCCCTCAAGAAACAATAAAAAAAATCTCAGGTAAACACAGGTAGACAGAGGCCTCAACATGATCACTCCTTAGAATCAATGTACAGAACTGTGTCACATTATCTCGTCCTGAGGAACTCCAAGGACCTGACCGTGTTATACTGTTCTAGTTAGTTATGTCCCCACCTCCTTACCCACCCACCTTCCCTCTCTGCTCACTCCCTCCTCCCTCTTTCTACCTCCCTCACCCCCTCCCTAACCCACTCACTCCCCCACCCACCCACTCTACCGTTCTATACCGTGTCAGTCACCGTATTGCCTCGGTTACTCAAAGGCGATGTCGGGGAGGTAAAAATTGCACATATATTACTGTAATGCGCTCCGTTGTGTGTGTGTGTGTGTGTGCGTGTGTGTGTGTGTGTTTGTCTTGGCTCTCTCTCTCGCTCTTGTATGTTTGTTTATGTTTGTGTGTGTTGTGTGTGGATGTATCTCCGAATTAAGTCTTAATGAGAGAGAGAGAGAGAGAGAGAGAGAGAGAGAGCATCTAACAAAACAAACAACTACGATAAACAAACAGAAAAAAAACAAGGGAGAAAAGGAAAAACAATAACAACTAAAAAAAAGCAGAACACTTAACACCTCAAGCCTCTTCCCCCTCCCATCCCCTCACTCATCCCCTCCCCCCATTCTCCCCTCCATCTCTTCCTCCACCCCAATCATCTTCTCCCCTCTCTTCCCCCTCCTTTAAAAAATATATGACGAACCACCTGGCCAATTAGTCAAATTCTCCAGGTGGGAAGGTGTATAGGCTCCCGTCCCCCACCGCCTCTCTCTATCTCTTCCTTTACATCATCTTCTTATTGGCTTGGCATTAGTGGAAGTCTCGGAGCATAGGGAGGGATACGGGGTAGGGTATTAGGGTCATGTGGGAGAGGTCAGGTGACAAAAACTCCAAGAGGTCAAAGGTCACCAACGAGGCATTGCTGACGTGAGGGCCGTGATTACCGTAATGCCGATTGAACGCCCGACCAGATTGTACTCTAATATGACGGAATTCGATGGCTGGCGACCGTAAAAAAAAAATAATAATAACTGCAGAATCGACCGGAAATTCCAGATTTGCGGTCGGGAATCATTAACCGGTTTGTGTTTTGGGGATACGATTCGCTGTGAAGTAATTACCACTAAATCGGAATGTTTTATGGATTATCGGTTCTCAGGTCACTATTTATGTTGGGTTGTGTTGATGGTGGTGATGGTGATATAAAAGGTGGCGAGGAATGATGGTGGTGATGATGACAGGTGAGAGAGAGGGGGGGAGGGAGGGGGAGTATATTTGGTAAAGAGGTGAAATTACCGATAAACCGAATAATGAAAAATCGATGATGATGATGACTGCACGCGCGCAGAGAGAGAGAGAGAGAGAGAGAGACTGTTATAAACGATGCATAACCCCGAGACATATAAATGTATTTACTGATTTAATGAAGATTCTTGTAAGAAATTAATTAAGCTCACGTACGACTACTGAGACATACATACATACATACAGAAGACCTCATCTGCAAATTTGGTAAGAAGGTTCTACACCATCCTCGACACCGGCTCCTACTACCACCTGAGATCCCTAGTCCGAGAATTGCTGTTCGACACCACAACCGCATCCAGCCCATACATGCACGAACTGATCGCTATAAGAACAGCCCCGTTCCAACCATTGTAAAAATTATCAATAACTTGTAATAAACCAGTGTATTCACTCCCAGTAAACACTATTCCTTGCACTGTCACTATGTTGAAATGAACTGTAGTTTGAGCTTTTCCCCATCTAGTTATTATATATCTTATTTGTGTCACTTATGTTACTTGTATATTATTTGTAATTCGAAACCCATTCCCCAAATATGTAACTGTATATTTTCAGTCTTCTGGCTGCCAAGCTCTTTCAATAAACCGTTAATTATTATTATTATTATTATTATTATTATTATTAAGACAATTACGAGACAGGTGTACCAACTAACGACCACCTATTGAGACAATTAACTTACGGTAAATATCCGAAAAAAATACGAATTCTCAAGAGATCGTAAGTTCATTTTTTATCGTAAATAGAGAAGTGAGAATGTGTCTTATTAGTTTTCTCTTAACATGACGCCGTATGTGTCATCCAATAGGCACTGACACTACCCTGGAGCACAAATTAGTGTATGTGTTTTAATGAATTAATTTATGCTGTTTATTAGAGATGTAGTGAATTAAACGAGATTTTTTAAGAGGTGGTTGATAAGAACACGAACACACACACACACACACACACACACACACACACACACGCATGCAAGCAAAGCATATGTGTGTGTGTGTGTGTATAAACAGTTCACCGTGACAGATGCCTCAGCTCCTATTCCTGACTCTTACACTTAGTCTCTGTCGGTACTACCTGACTCCTCCCTCCCTCCTACCTACCTTTCTCTCTTCACCTCCCTCCTACCTTCCTTCCTTCTTCCCCTCTCTCTCTCCCCCTTCTCTCCTACATTCCTCTCTTCTCCAAAAGGTAATGCATGTCAAGATCGGGTAGTATGAGAGAGAGATAGAGAGTCGTGGAAGCGAAAAGTGACCAAATCCGGATTGACAAACGTTCGTGTAAGCGTTCGTGTACCTTCAATCCTCACGGCCGTAACACAAAACAGAAGAACGTTTTCCTTCAACTTCTCTACCTTTAAAAACTCTTAACTGTAGAATGAACTAGATTAAAAAATGGCGTCAACCCCCTCCCCTCCCCACCCCCAAAGACTGTAATTTAAGTAGATATTATCGATTTGATTAATAGTTAAGTGGTTAAATATGAGACGTGTGATGGTTGAGGGTCTCGCTTCAGGAATGTAAACAGAATGTGGTTGTGGTGGTGAGGTTGTGGTGGTGACATTCTGGTGGTGGGGTTTTGATGGTGAAGTTGTGACGGAGAGGTTGTGACGGAGAGGTTGTGATGGAGAGGTTGTGACGGAGAGGTTGTGACGCAGAGGTTGTGACCAAACACTTCGATACCTTGTACATCTGATCACCAAGCAGTCAGAGTTCCTAGAGATGTTCAGTTACTACAGCCATCAGTGTCACTAGACCAATACCTACCACTATCCACCACCACCACCACACCCACACTGCTACCACCACCTAAACCACTACCATCGCCCCACATCATCCACCAATGGCACCCACACCCTCACCTCACTCACCACCACCCACACTACCCACTGTCCACTATTACCCCACCACCACTACCACCACCTACACTACCCACTCAACCACCATTACCCACCACCACTACCACCACCCACACTACCCACTTAACCACCATTACCCACCACCACTACCACCACCCACACCCAATTAACCAGCATTACCCACCACCACTACCACCACCTAAGCACTACCCACTCACCACCATTACCCACCACCACTACCACCACCTACACTACCCACTAACCACCACACTCCACCACCACTACCACCTCACCTACACTACCCACTAACCACCATTACCTACCACCACTACCACCACCTTACACTACCCACTAACCACCATTACCCACCACCACTACTCACCACCTACACTACCCACTAACCACCATTACCTACCACCACTACCACCACCTACACCACCCACTAACCACCATTACCCACCACCACTACCACCACCTACACTACCCACTAACCACCATTACCCACCACCACTACCACCATCGTCAGAAGCTGTTGTAGGAGGTCGTTATGTTTGTGTCAGTGAGTTAGTCAGTTAATGGTGTCTGACGTGTCTTCTGTACTGTATGTGGTGAAAGGTAAACACACACACACACACACACACACACACACACTTTTCAGGTACACGCTTTCATGAGTATATTATAATAAGTTATATCCTCCTCCCCACACGCAAACGAACTCACGCCCACCCCACCCATTCCACACTCACGCCCACCCCATCCATTCCACACCCACGCCCACCCTACCCATTCCACATCCACGCCCACCAAACCCATGCCCGTCCACGCCCATCCGTTCACACTTCCGTCCACAACAAAGTCTATCCACGCTCACCTATTCCACCCCCAACGCCTATCCGCCCACCAACCCACCCACCCACCCACCCTCCCCTCCACACGTGACGGAAGCAGGTGCAAACGTTGACCGGAAGCAGGTAAGCTCACGTACCGCCCAGGACTACCAAAACCTGAACTCACATAAAGTCAAACCACACCGTTTACAAGGTCGACATTCCTCCCATACATACAAGTGAACCCCGACCATCCGAACTGGCTTTTGTCTCGTTCTGTCACGCGTCAAGCACCTCCGTCATAGGTGGCTGAGTGGGATTGTGGAAATTGGTGGTGGCAC